TGCTGTAGTTTTTATCTCATCCTCTACAGTATCACACGTCAGGCTACATGTTTATACCGAGGTGTAGACAAGGTGTGCACATCCTGAACATTTACGGAGGTGATTCAGTGCATGAATGATGAGAGCATTAAAGGTGACATATCCTCCTTCTCTTTAAATAAGTCTCAGAGCTCCTCAAAACATGTGTGTGAAGTTTCTTGTTCTAAATCCACTCTGATCCTGTATTTGATCATGTCTATAAACCCCTCTATTTCAGCCCTGCTCAGAACAGGCTGTTTCTGTGTCTGTACCTTTAAATATGTAAATGAGCTGTGTCTGACCACGCCCCCTCTCTGGAAGGGCTCGGGTGTAGTCGGTCTTTCTTGCTCCATGTCCTATTGTTTACGGTGAGAAGGCAGACTCAGAGGGCAGAACAAACACCTAGCTGTGGGAGTGTCACCCACCTGGGGGAGGGGCTACTGCCCTTTGTGATGTCATGAAGGGAAAAAGGGAATGTCATGATGATGTCATGAAGGGAAAATCTCCAAACGGCCTGTTTGAGCACACATTTTCTGAAAAGTGGAGCAGGCAGAAGACAGAGAGGATGGACTTTTGTCATCATTGGGGGGTTTGTAGACGGACTAGAGACACATGTTAGAGTTAGAGGAACATGGAGAAGAGGATTTTGCAGAACATGTGACCTTTATAGCTTTCAAAGAAGAAATACAAATGTGATCGGACTGAGCCTCAAGGAGTTGTGTACAGAAACATCGAGAAATGTATGAGCACATGCTCCAAACACAGGTTGAAAAATCGTTAAATTCAACCAGAATCCAGAGGTCACTCCCACCAGTGGTGTCAAAGAAGTTGTTTGTCTGCAGAATCATGGAGAAACGATTCTTCTGATACTCTCGATAGCTGGTGGAAGAATGTAGCATGGGGTCATGGATGAACCTATTTTTTTTTGTAGTCTTGTAGTCGAAATCTATCCGGACACATTTAGTGATTGCACTGACAGTTTTGCACATTACACATAACAAGACATCCGGCCTTGTTGCAGACATGCACTCTCAGAGCGCTCGTCTCGTCGGGTCTGTTTTTAGATTTAAACTCAGCTGAGCCGGGGCCGAGAGAGAGCACACAGGTAAGGAGATGTGGAGGTCTGGATACTCTGAGGGAGACAAATGATGAGGCAGAGTTGCCGTTGCACTTGAAACTGCTGCTGTTGACCTTAAGCTGCTGACGCTGCTGTTGATCTGAGTCCCACTTTTATTCAAACCTCTCTTTGTGTCATCTGGTTCCAAAGACTGTTTACATCCATCGCTCTGCTTTCATGCTATCTCTTTCTCTGCTTCTCTGCAGCGCTCCTCTCCTCCTGCTATGATTAATAGGTACAGCTCCACAGATCAATAGAGCATTTGTAGAAACTCCACGTTGAATAGATTAAATGTACTCAATGCCATCCGCCCACATGCCGGAGAGTCGCACTCTTATATGATTAATACCTGTTTTAAAGTTGAATAATAAATGTACTTCTCTTCATCTCCTCTAAAGTGAAAGAGTTCGAGCACAGCAGTGGATCTTGTGCTTGTTGTAATAATTAATTAATTTATGTCATTAATTCTCGTGCTTACTTCTGTGACACCTTTTCCTGTTGTGTCTGCTCTTCCTTAACAGCTGTTGCTATCTCAGCAGCTCTGTTTTTCTCAGCTTTGCTCGTCTTCTGCACATCTGTTTGCCTTAGTTACCCGACGTGTGAGTCGGGAGTGTCAGTACACCTGCATACGTGTGGAGAACGTTTTTTTTAAAAAGGAAACATCAGCAGACAAAGTGTTGTCGATGCAAAAGGTTAAGTGAGTTTTGGAAGACGAGGAGGAGTTAGGTGACCTGCAGGTTTGATTTTGGCGTTCTGGATTAGGATGTGAGCACACTCCTGGCTGTTCCACGCTCACGGCTCAAGCTAAAGGGAGATCGGGCTTTTTCAGTAAAAGCCCCTAAACTGTGGAACAGCCTCCCTCATCCCATCAGGTCTGCACCCTCTGTCGACTCTCTTAAGTCCCGTCTCAAGACATATTTTTATATTTTAGCATTTGAGTCCTCTGGTCACCAAGTACTAAGTCATGTTTTGCTTGGGGATCAAATACTTATTTCTTTCGATCAAATGCAAACTAATTTATTTTTTCTGGACTTTTTTTTACATATTGTGTCTCTGTTTGCTAAAACAAAAGTACCATAAAACTTAAAAGTAGGAAAGTAGGTGGTTAGTGACTGATATTTACAGATAGATACATGCAGTAATATGATGTACTGTATATGCACAGAGAGAGAAGGTCATGAGGATGTGGACGGACCGTGCACCGGCTGCAGCCTCTGCCTAACATAGAGACAGAGGAGAGGTCTGCCTTGTCACTGCCGGTCGGTATGCTCCTCACATCTTCACATCTCAGCTCCACACAGGAGCTTGAACAGGAGCTGCAGCCTCGACTCTGCAGCTCTTCAACCCTCTTCTTCTCTCCTCAGTGTTACTCTGCCGCTCCTGTCAGGCGGAGAGAGAGGAGGGGGAGGAGAAGAAAAACAGAAACAAAGACAGAGACATCAACTTCAGTTGGGATGGATGAGAGAGGAAAAGCTACTCACAGTACATCCTGGCTTTTTCTTTTGATTCACAGCGTTTACAGGATAGTTGTTTAGAGGCTTTGACAGCCGGCGATGTGATGTGAGTGAGCGATGAAAGAAATCAGGAAATGTAAGGCGGCCCTCTCTTTGTGGCCTTTTATTTTCCCTCTGAGGGGGGAAAAGGTCGTTACAGTACTTGTAAGCCTGTTTCGTAGGTCATAGAGTGTTATAGCCGTGGCATTGACCCGGGGAAAAAATAAAAATATTTGAGAGAGTGACCCATGCAATAACAAACTGGTTACAACTGTGGCATGGCCCTTGTAACAGTTGATGTGGGTTGAAATTGAGGTTGCGACCTCTGTCGTTAGAGGGAGACGGTCCCTGCGGTTCCTCATGGGGGGGGCGAGGGGTTACAACATGAAACAGTAACTCGCTTTAAATCCTCGGCCAGGTCAGTCAGGATGAAAACAAAATGTAATGAGTTTATTTTTCGACTTCTTGTCTTAACTTTGCACAAGGGCAGACGGAGGTAAAGGTTTGGATTGTGTTTTTGTAAGTGGGGTTGTATGAGGTCTTCTTTTAGTGGTCAACTGCCCCCTGTTGGAAAATCTAGTCAGAGTACTCACTGATGCTAAGCTATGTAGCGCTGTGGACGGTCTGAAGGTAACACTCTTCGATGAGTACCTCGTTCAACCTGATAAAAAAAAAACAGTCTCTTTTATTTTATATTTGCACATCAACTACACACCATCCGAGATGTGAACAGAAGCTTCAGAGTAAATTGCTTCAAGTTCAGTGAAATCCCCACAAGGCCAAACTTGAGTATAATTACTTTGAAATGAAGACAACTGAATCACTACTCAGTGACAGAGCAGCGCTTTTAGTAATGGCACAGATACTCCTCAGCTGGAGTACGGCTGGCCCCCGAAGCCTTTTATAATCATCGACTCACTCCAAGTGATATGTTTCTACAAGTTCTCTGAAGTGGCAGCGAATTATCTGGAGAGTCTCTCCTCACCTGAACCTTATCAGCTCTTAATGCTGATCTGTGTGTTTGAGATCTATATGTTGCATTGACTCATCTCGATTCTGTTCATTCAGGATCAGAGCAATGCAGCGCTCTCCAGGATCGACTTCAAGTTTGATGCATATTAAACATAGGTGCAATCAGCAGGGGTGAATTCAAACAATCAGCAGCAGAGGTGGACTCTCAGACTGCAGATTGTTCTACAGACTCGGGGCCACAGTTCTTAAAAGCTGCAATGTGGTTGAATTTCTTGGGATGACTAGACGCCTGCTACATTTGGATGATTCTGCATAAAAATGCCCAATCTGTAGGAGCCAATTTGAGTTTCTGAAGCGTTCTGGTTTCTGTGTGTTGGGAGTATCATCTGTTATGACTTTTGTGGGTTTATGTGAAAACTGTCAAACGAGGAGAAAGCCATCAGCTGTAAATCATCCTGAAACAGACTATCATCCAAAGACGACTTCATGTCTTAAAACAAATGTCTGCAGACAACTGCTGCAAAAATCCCTTCTTACATGTCAGCTCTGTAACTCTGTTACCAATGCCAAACAAAGTCCTGTCCTATCATCTGCACAAAACACTTGGATACGCTAAAGCTAGCTCCGTTCCTTTAGCTGTTAGAGAGACAGCGGACTGGATGTCCCATCATGCTAACATGTTTGAAGTGTAAGACTATTGGAACAACATAAACACAAAACTACACGACCGCCGAGACTCACTGCATCACACCACTTAGTTTGAGATCTCTAACCACTTCCTGTTTCTGTGCTTAACTTCCTGCCCTAACCTTCCATCTGCCTTACTTTATTTCAAAATAAAAGCACACAGCAAGTACTTTCAGCGTAAGACAGTAGACAACTTCAAAATAAGAGCAGAACTGTTTTTATTCTTGAATGCAAAATAATGTAATTTCAAACGTGATTGAAATGCGATTTATTCGCGATTAAAAACGATGAAGTACAACTGTTTGCCTCTCAGCTGCATTTTTTCTAACAATCGATGAAAACAGCTGTTTTTTGTAAAGTCTTAATGCAATTAACCCTCTGAAGAAAAAACATGAATTAACTCTATTTCAGCTGGCAATGACTTAGCGCCTGATAACAAAGGGGGATATAGGATTTGTAGTTTTTATGAGCACTTTGAACACACCAAACATGTCTGTATGTGTTTGTTTTCCAATCACTATTCATCCTGCGTCACACGTTGACAGCAGGGCATCAGACAGAAGGTCTCACATACCTGAGACGAGTCACTCCTGTTGTGTACAATGATTCAGGACAAACACTGTTACCTGTGGAGGTATCTGCTTCTGTCTCCTTTTTCTGCATCAGCATGTTGGATCAAACATGTATTGACACTTCTTTTCTTTCTCTCTTAGGCTTTCCCAACGAGCCTGCAGCTGAAATCGCTCTGAGCACAGTGAAGAGCTGGATAGAAGACAATCCTGATAAGGTAGGACAAGTCCGCTTAAAAACATATTCAAAACAAATCGCTGTCAATCTGAAGCGGGCCGTCAGCTTGTGACGGGCGTTGTCTGTTTCGCTCTCCTGTTGGTTTTGAGCGGAGGTTACTGGACCTTTCACAGAAACACTAATTCTCATGTTTCTCTGCATCAAACATCGTATCCACCTTCCCGCTTGGTCGACCATTCAGCCTGTGGTCTGCATGCATATCAAATTAAAAGCCAGTCTGAGACTAATCAGGCCGTAAATGGGCTGTTGGCTGTTTAATTGGTCTATGCTGAGGAGAGCTGTTAAAGCTAGGAGAACGTAAACACATTAAATGGAATAATGTGAAATGTATTTTCGCATTAGATGACTTGTAATTGGGCCGTCAAAGGACTGAAGCAGACTGGAAATACTCTCCTGTTCATGCTTGGATCATTGCTAACACCACGGTGGCTGAACACTTACAGGACATAAGGACAGCGCAGAGCTCTTGGAGTGGAATAATCTTTGAAACAGATCGTCATGTTCAGTTTTAAGTTATTAGATAAGAAGCAGAATCATCGTTTGAAATTCTGCTAAAACAACCCTCTCACAAATCTTGATCCCGTACTTATCCATGGCCATCCTCTTGGAGGACTATAGTCTCTGTACATTGTTCAAGGGGGCAGAACAAGCCTGTGTCTATCACTCTTGTTGTTTGTGGTGCTTTTGCGCATGCGTCGGCGTCTTCGCTCACTGGAGGGAAGCACTGCCAAAACCTTTTACTTTTTATCAAGTTTGAACTACTTCCTCGGTTATACTTGTGTGAATTCTGGCTGGTTTTAAGTATTTATTCAACATAGATAACCGTTTTTAGCCTTTGGGTGTTTGGATATTACTTTTAAAGTGTGGTAATCACTGCAGCCTGCCACTGGAAGACTGCTGCTAGCTAAAACTGTCTGTAACATCTGGAGCTAGCCATGTCTGTGTGTACGAACTGCGAACATCACTACTCACAGTTAAAGGACGATATCCAACGCCTTAAGTCCGAACTTCGGAACAAAGACCATCTGATTGAAGGCTTTGTTTCCGTGGCTGCTGCACAGTCAAAACACATATCTTATATGCAGTCCTCGAGCCTGACGGTCCGATCGCCATCCGCACCATCCTCGCCGGCATCAAAGCTGGTGTCTGGTGTTGAAAGTCGACCTATTCTGTTGATCCCCTTTTTAAATCTTACATGTAGAATTACAACGCAAACTAAACGTGGCCAACATTTCAGTTCATGAGATAAACACATGTCGGAGTAATCCCAGGATGAGTCTGCAGAGGGCGCTAAACGGCCCCCATAAGGCTTCCAGAGAGCTGACCAATCAGAAGAGAGTTGGCACGTTGGGGAGGGGGAGTCTTAAAGAGACAGCAACCGAAATTAACATGCAGAGGTTGAAATGAGAGATTTTACTGACGCCAGTATCAGATCAATAAGGAGGTTTTACTGCTCTAAAGGTTTCAAAGACTGACGACATGAAAGGTGAACATAGAATATAATTACTTTACTGATCCCAAACTGGGAAATTGTGGCGTTACAGCAGCAAGTTATCTAACACACAATATGAGTAAAATGAGTAAAAAACACAATATACAATATACACAATATAATATTAGCTACAAAGTGAATAAGTACTAAAATATATCAAAAATAAGAATGGGAATATATACAACCAGGATTTAACTAAGCATTACTAGTCTTAAATAGGAAGATTAAATATGGAAGATTGAATGTAAATGTGCAAAAACAGAGTCGTAGATGATTATAAATTAAATATGAAAGATTAAAGGTAAATGTGCAAAAACAGAGTAGTAAATGGACAGTATTGACATTAGTTAAAGTGCATGAATGTAGACATATTATAAGCAGAAACTATTCAATATAACGGCGAGTAGACAGACAAATGAAGTGAACATGAGTCCAGGGATCATTTATAAATTTAACATGTGCAGAACAGATTACAGTATGGAGAGACAGATATTATCATGATGACAGTTCTCTGCTCGCATGAGGTGAGCTGTTGTACAGAGTTATGGCCTTCGGTAAGAAAGATTTCTTGTATCTGTCCTTGTGACAGCGGAGTTGTATCAGTCTGTTGGAGAAGCTGCTCCGCTGTTTGTCCAGTAGGGTGATCAGGATTATCCATAATGGATAACAGTTTGTTCAGAGTCCTCCTCTCTGTCACCACTACAAAAGAGTCCAGCTTGCAGCCTATCACAGAGCAGGCCTTCTTAATGAGTTTGTCCAGCCTCTTAGTGTCACCAGCTCCAATGCTGCTCCCCCAGCAGACCACAGCAGAGAACAGTGCACTGGCCACAACAGACTGATAGAAGATCTCCAACATCTTGCTGCACACATTGAAGGATCTCAGCTTCCTCAGAAAGTGGAATCGGCTCATCCCCTTCTTGTACACAGCCTGAGTGTTGGCCTTCCAGTTCAGTTTGTTGTCTATGTTGACATCCAGGTACTTGTACTCCTCCACCACAGACACATCCTCTCCCAGGATGCTCAGCGGTGGTGGCTCTGTCCTCTTCCTTCTGAAGTCGATCACCATCTCCCTGGTCTTATCCACGTTCAGAATCAGGTGATTTCTTCCTGTCCACTCCACAAAGTTATCCACCAGCTGTCTGTACTCCCCCTCTTGCCCATCATTTATACACCCCACCACCGCAGAGTCATCAGAAAACATCTGCAAGTGGCATGACCTGGAGTTGTATTTAAAGTCAGAGGTGTACAAGGTGAAAAGGAAAGGAGACAGCACAGTCCCCTGTGGAGCTCCTGTACTGCTCTCCACCATTCTAGACTGAACACTGCCAAGTCGGACAAACTGTGGTCTGTCTGTCAGGTAGTCAGTAATCCAGGAGGTGATGGACCAGTCCACACCCATTAACTGCAGCTTCTCTTCCAGCAGTTGTGGCTGGATGGTGTTGAACGCACTGGAGAAATCCAAAAAGGTGATTCTCACAGTGCAGCCGTTTCCCTCCAGATGTGAGTGAGAACGCTGCAGCAGGTAGATGATGGCATCGTCCACTCCCAGGTGTGGCTGGTAGGCAAATTGTAAACGGTCAAGGGATGGTTTCACCTGCGGCCTGAGGTGGGTCGAGACAAGCCTCTCCAACACTTTCATCACATGAGATGTGAGAGCCACTGGTCGATAGTCCTTGAGATCAGATGGTGTCGTCTTCTTTGGGACCGGGACCAAGCAGGACGTTTTCCACAGCACCGGTATCCTCTCCTGGCTCAGACTCAGGTTGCAGAGGTGTTGCAGAATCTCAGACAGCTGGCTGGCACAGGTCTTCAGAACTCTTGGGTGGATGCCGTCCGGGCCTGGAGACTTACTGATGTTTAGTTTCTCCAGCTGTCTTTTCACCTGGCCAGTTGTTAGAGTCAGAGGGGGGATGGAGCAATTCACCTCAGAGGGGGAAGTGCATTCCTGTGGTGCAGGGCCAGAGTCCAAAGAGTTCACCATGGGGGGTGGGGGGGGGGGAGGGAAGCAATACAAAGGGAGGCTGTAAGGTGTGGAGTACAGGGGTGTTGTTTGAGGTGGGTTGGGGGGGAGGGAGAAAATACAAAGGGAGGCTGGGAGGTGTGAAGGACAGGGGTGTTGTTTGAGGTGGGAGAGGCAGATGAAGGCTGTGCACTAAACCTGTTGAAGAACAGGTTTAGCTCATGCGCCCTCTCCAGGCTGCCAGAGTGTTGTCTTTCTCTCCCTTTGAATCCAGTGATTTCCCTCAATCCAGTCCACACATCCCTCACGTTGTTCTGATGGAGTTTGGCCTCCAGCTTTCTCCTGTATGAGTCCATGCACTCCCTCAGCTTTCCCTCAGATCGTACTGTATCCTCCTCAGCTCCTCCCTGTTTCCAGACCTGAAGGCTTGTTTCTTTTTGTTGAGAAGGGCTTTCAGGTCACTGGTGATCCAGGGTTTGTTGTTAGGAAAACAGCGTACGGTCCGGGCCGGTAAAGCAGTATTTTAACAGAATTGAATGTATTCTGTGATGCAGTCAGTCATGCTGTTAATGTCCTCTCCATGTGGCTCGCAGAGTACATCCCAGTCTGTGGACTCAAAGCAGTCCTGCAGTGCCTCATTGCTCTCCTGTGTCCACCTCCTAACAGTCCTTGTGGTCACTGGCTGTCTTTGGACCAGGGGGATATACTCTGGTGTCAGTAGGACCAGGTTGTGGTCTGATATGCCCAGGGGGGGAAGGGCAGTGGTACTGTATGCTTCCAGTGTTTTATTTTCTCTAGTTGGACAGTTAACATATTGATAAAAAGTGGGTAGTGTTTTGTCCATTTTTACATGATTAAAGTCCCCGGTAATGGCTACAAAAGCATTTTGATGCTTAGTTTGAAGCTGTGAAACAGTAGAGTGAAGTGCATCACTCGCAGACTCAGCATCAGCTGACGGTGGGATGTAAACAGCTAGAACAATGGCGTACGTGAATTCCCTTGGCAGGTAATATGGGCGTATTCCCCATGATGTATCAAATCAATATCAAATAATATGTCAAAAATAATAACCTGTTGTTATCACGGTCTACTACTACTGCAGGCTGCTTACAGAACCATTCTATGAAAGCAAAATCAGGACACCATGAACTCATCGGTGCTTGTTAAAGCACCAACACAAAGCATGCTGAATTTACAATCACCTGCTAAGTACAACAGCGACCCCTCTTATTTGAAATGGCTTAAACAAGCAATTCAAAGTTCTGATTTAAAGGCTTCAGCATCATCTACGTTATTATGTGTGACGTGCATTAGGTCCTCATTGTGCTTCCATTAAAACTCTGCGAGGATAGAAAGGTGTCCATCTGTCAGGAGGCTGTAAAAGCTCTACTGAACATTTGTCAGTGCTGTGTGAGTCAGTTGAGGTCATCTCTGTTTACTGTGTATACCTGTCACCTGTGGATGGAGGTGTGTTATAAAGCTCGCAGCTCAACGCGATACAGCATCCACTAGGCTGGGGGTTATGGAT